CGAACCTGCTAAGCCTAGCAAGTGAGTGAAAGCGGAGGGTGAGGTGTGTGTGTGTGTGTGTGTGTGTGTGTGTGTGTGTGTGTGTCCCTTCTAACCCGGAACTGACGGCCTCGCGTAGCTGGCGCCGCCAATCCGCGTCCCGGAAGGAGCGAACCTGCTAAGCCTAGCAAGTGAGTGAAAGCGGCGCCGCCCGCTGGCCGCCTGCGCGGCTGAAGCCGGGCATCCCCCCGCCTTTTTCCTCCGGTTTCCCCAAAGGAGGAGCGGGAGAAGCATGTAACTGCCGTGGCTCCTTGCCAGTCGGTTCCCGAATAAGGCCTCCCCAACCCCCGCCGCCCGCGCCCCTGGGTGGGCAGGCCCCGCCGCGGCGCCCACACTCTGTCCAAACTCCGGCCTCTGTCCCTGGCCCCCAGCCCCTGCCCTGCCGTCCTACCGCCGGAGCGGTGACCGCCCGTCCCGCCGTTCCTTCGTTACCGCTGCGGGCACCATGGGCAGTGAGCAGAGCTCCGAGGCCGAGAGCCGACCCAACGATCTGAACTCCTCAGGTCGGTGTCCTAACCTCCCACCCTCCAGCAGGCCTTTTGTAGAACGGACTGCCACTCAGCCTAGTCGGGTCTGGGATCGCTGGATGAGGACACACTGAAAGGCTTCACCATGCTTTTTCTTCTTTATTAAAAAAAAAAAAAAAGTCACTGTCTGTACTAGCCTTGATGCCCCGATGGATGAGTGCCTGTGATTGCAAGCTAAGCGTGTGTGGGCCCACATGCTCATTATTTGTTTCTCTCAGCTACAGCCCAATCTTTGAAAGACTTGACCTAATTAATTTTTGGCTTTAGTCTCACTACTGACATGGTGAGATTTGGCTCATACAGTGGGTGCATTGTAGACAGAATCTCTAAGAACAGGCTTCTTGAAAACAGGTCTTAGACGTCTAGTTCCTTTTGAGAAGGGATTTGTGATAGGTGTATAATCAATTTGAATCCTTGGGTAGAAGGTACACTTCTCCCCAGATAACTGAATATTCACTTCAGAAGGTGTGGGCCCGGCTGGCAGGCCCTGGTGTTTTTCTCTATTCTGCCCTGTACATATATTTCTGTGATTTTTTTCAGTATTTGAGATGGGAATGAGGAGGATGGGGAGGAATAATGTGCTTAGAACATAGTGCATAGTAAACAAAAAAAGCTGATGCTTAGTTGAGGACCATTCGCCCTTTTTGTTTTTGTTTCTGTTAACCCGCAAACCAGTGAACAACTGGGAGGGCATTGGACAAGCACTGGGGTTGTCGATCCAAATTGGGTTAAATTTGGGCCCAGAAAGTACCCCTGGTCATGGAACTGCTCAGATCTTGTAAAGCAGAGATTGGGAGTTAATAGATGTAGGTGTGGTCAACACTGAAGGGCATCCTTCAGGATTAGTTCTTTGGACTAATCCACTTTGGGGGCTAGATTTGAACGGCATTTAATGGTGAGCAGCACCTACTAGCTTTGCTACGTTCTTCTGTTTCCATGGAAGGTCCACAATGTTGTATCTGTTATAAAAAATACAGTTATCATTGCTACCTCTTGCTTTCTTGCCTCTATGTCAGGCCAGAAGCATATTTTGGGGAAGAGGTATGGCATCTCTTTAGTATGTTTGCTCTTCCACCCCCTAACAGCATGGACTCATTTCTGATGTTAGAACTTGCCTATCTTCCTGTGCTAAGTGCTTTACAAACATTTGCATTTCATCTGTTCAATAACCCCATTATACAGAAAAGGTAGGAGTTAGAAAGTAGCCAAGTTGGCTTTCCTCTGGTCTGGGGAAGGAAGAATCAAAATTTGTATCAGGAAGGATTTCTGGCATGGATTTTGTAGAACATTAAGTAAGTTAGTTGAAGAGATTAAGAAATCTTTTTTGAAGAACAATAAAAAGAGCAGAGATTCTGAAAGTGAATGCCAAGCCACAGGAGACCTTAGCCTCCAGGAGGCAGGGCCGTGCTGTGGTATCTCTGCATGGACCTTTGAGGCCTGTTGATGATGAACCTGAGAATACGAACTTCTAGAGAGTAAAACATTTTGCAGGTTCATTGGTGTCCCAACCAGGGAGATACTTGGGTAGAGGAGGATGCTTGGTCTCAGGAGTCCTTTGTAGTTTGAATCACTTCCCTCCAAATGGATTGTAGTCTCTCAAGGGACCTGAAATTGACCTTTTTTTCCAATATTCCTACAAATGTCTGAATTTTGCCTCGATCTAGAATGGATCTAGTGGATATTTCTGCACTTCTCGGACTAACGTCTGTAACTTTGAGAGTGAGAACGCTGAAGCCTCAGGAATAGTCTCATCATCTGGGGTTGAGTAGCAGGGGTTTCCCCATGACTAGGATCTATTAGATGCACCAGATCTGTGATAGTGTGCAACTCCATCTTTGCAACTCCAGTGTCACAGGAATGGGCTATGTGCACCAGTGACTTAGAGACGTTCATTTTCTTTCCTAAGTCTGTGGACCTTAGGCAAGTCACAGCCATGTTTTGCATCTTTACTTCCTTATTGGTAAATTGAAATACCAGGAGAATCAGTGAAATAAAAATAAAAAACACAGTGAGATTAGACTTTTATGTGCTGAATAATGGAATATTTTTAATTACAAAAGCAATGTTGTTGTTATGTGCCATCAAGTCAGCCCTGACTCATAGCGACCCCTCCTTGGGTTTCCGAGGTAGTATCACTATGGAAGTAGATTGTCCCATCTTCCTTCCCAGGAGTGGCTGGTGGGTTTGAACCACCAGCCTTCTGGTTAGCAGTCAAGTGCTTAAACAAAAGCAATACATACATGTTTTATGTTCTTGTAATGTTTGATTTTTTTTATTATTGTAGAAAGTAGAGGTCCTCCATTACTCATCTCTCCGTAGCTCCTGTTGCAAGATAATTACGGTTAGCATTTTATCATGTCAAAATACTGTTTTTAATGACTACACTGAAAATATTTCTGTGAGGCAGAGGTGGCTAACTAACATGCAACTCCTGAGCAGTGTAACTTTATTTTCAGTGACCCCTTCTCCAGCTAAGCATAGAGCCAAGATGGATGATATTGTGGTTGTAGCGCAGGGCTCCCAGGCCTCACGTAACGTCAGCAACGATCCTGATGTCATCAAGTTGCAAGAGATTCCAACCTTCCAGCCGCTTTTGAAAGGTAAGGGGTTGTATTTTGCTTTACATAAGCTGGAGATTTGTATAACCCTACTGCTCTTTCCCTGGATATCCATGGCCTTATTTCTTTATCTCTCTCATATCTCATGTGCTTGATTGCTATCTTTTCAGTGAAGCCTTTGCCCTATTGAGAATTGCAACCCTCTTCCCTGCCTATTTTTCTCTCGTTGTTATGTGCCATCGAGTTGGACCCGACCCATAGCGACCCCTCCTTTGGTTTCCTGGGCGGTATCACTACAGGAGTAGGTTGCTCAACCTTCCTTCCGAGGAGTGGCTGGTGGGTTTGAACCGCCACCCTCTTGGTTAGCAATCGTTGACCTACTACATAGTTTGTCTGCTGTCTGTATTACTGTGCTAGGCTGAGCATCTTGATGACAGGAACTTTATGTGTTTTATTCCTTAATAGATCCCAAGCACCTGGAATAGAGCCTGGTACCAAGTAGGGACTGAGTGAATGAATGAATGAATGAATATTGGAGTTGGTTCTTACCCTTATCCACAAAAGGATATCATTCTTGTTTGTGATCTGGACTATGGGTTGACTATAGTTGACTAATTCAGATTCATAGAGAAAGTCTCCATGACCGCTGATAAAATTATAATTAACCCTGGCAGCTATCTTGAATGAGGGGCATGTGTGTGGTTTGGTACAAACCATCAGCTTACCTGATTAGCATATGTTGAGGTAAACCAAAACACCAAACCCACTGTTATTGCATTGATTCCGACTGGTAGTGACCCCCATTGAGTTTCCAAGGCTCATTGTCTTCCTGTGGAGTGGCTGGTGAGTTTGAACTCCATACCTTTTAGTTAGCAGCCCAGTGCCTTAACCACAGGGCCACCAGACAGAGCTTCTTATATGTTGAGGTACTTACCTTTTAATATCAAGGGTATAACTTTATTATTTTCATAACTCTATTCAGTAGTGGAGATGATTTTCTATTAACTGAATGGGGTTTCTATTATAGCAGAAGTCCCTCTCTCTGTCACCTCCCCCCACAGGATTAAAAAAACCTATTGCCATCCAGTCAATTCTGACTTATAATGACCCTATGGGACAGAGTAGAACAGTCCCGTAGGGTTTCCAAGGCTGTCATCTTTACAGAATCAGACTGCCACATCTTTCTTCCACAGAGCTGCTGGTGGGTTTGAACTACTGACCTTTTGGCCAGCAGCTGAGTGCTTCACCACTGCACCACCAGTGCTCCTTTAAGATTAGGAAATATAAATGAATATAAGGCCTCGGTTACTTAACCTGGTATCATATGAAACATCCTGCATTTATATAGCTATTTGTATGAAAAGGTGCCCCTACCACATACGCACATCACCCCATTAATTCTGACATCATTAAATGTTTGAATGATTTATGCAAGATCAGAGAGCTGGCAGATAGAAAGGTTGAACTTGAATGTTCTTTGCTCACTTCATACCCTATACCAGTTACACTATTGTACACTATAAACAAATGGCCCTTTATAGATAATCCATACATCATCTTTTTCTTCTCAGTACTTCATCTGTTTTACAGGTGAGGAAATAAAAACTTTCAATCCGTTCCCCATGGGCTTCAGAGTTAGACATTGGTAACCTGTCTGACTCTTACATAAAACAATACATTATATTCTATTATCTATCTCCTTACTCGTTTTATTATTTTAAAGAATGTGATTCTCCAAAGAAGGCAATGTTAATGAAATTTCCATCTCCACATATCCTTGTAATGGACACAGTATAATCAGATTAAAAGACAAGCTCTTACCTTTAGAAACTTAGAGCTGGACCCTTATTCTATACCCCATCTCTTTTGTAGTTGCAGGTAGTACTGCCCAGCAGTCATGGTTTTCATGCTTCTTTGTTGTTGCTAGTTGTTAAGTTGATTCCAACTCATGGTGACCCCATGTGTGTAGAGTAGAACTGCTCTGTAGAGTTTTCAAAGCTGTGACCTTTCAGAAGCAGATTGCCAGGCCTGTCTTCTGAGGTGCCTCTAGATAGGTTTGAATCTCCAACTTTCTCCTAGTAGTTGAGCACTTAACCACTGGCCACACACAGGGACTCCATTTTATTGCTTCTACTTCTGGTTAATTCTTTCATCTCTCCCTTTAAACTATCTTCTGGTCCTGAGTAAAGCTTTATGTGACCAAGTCTTGTCTCCATTTTAGGGAAATACTTGTTTTGTTTTGTTTTAAAAAAAGCAAAAAAATCTCTTTAGAATATATTTAATAATTTTCTGATTTTAGTTTTTCTTTCTTTAAGCAGTTGAGATAATTTATATTTTATGATAATAAACTGATTAATAGAGGAAGCATTTGGGAAAAGGCTTGGTGTTTTCAGATTTTAAATCTTCACTGGGAATCCAAAAAGTGAATATGATACTGTTAAAAGAATACTGGACTGTATTGTATCGATACTTGGGTTTAGTTGTGACTTCCACCAATCAGCTATGTTGTCCTGGCTTAGTTTTTCCACTCTTGATTAAGAACATCAAGAATGGGTGTCAAAAGGTCCGTAGTTTGAACACACCAGCTGTTCCACAGAAGAAAGATGAAGCAGTCTGCTACCATAAAGATTTACAGCCTTGGAAACCCAATGGGGGTCGCTATGAGTTGGAATTGACTTGAAGTCGGTTAGTTTGGTTTTTGGAAGGAACGTAGAAAAATCACTAATCTTCCATTTTTCAAATTAAAACATTAAGGCTCAGAGAGCTTAAATTAATTGCCTAAGGTCACAAGTGATAGCTCATCTGAAGGTGGCATCAGGACATCTAGTTTGAACTATTCTGTGTACAGAATAAGACTCAGTTTCCAATTCTAGCAAAGTCTGTTATAGTAATCACTGGGCTGTAGTAGGAAACAGGGTGGTGGGTTTGAGGTTGTTTGGGCTTTAGGTGCAGCATTTATTGTAGAGCTTCTTGCTTTGACACGTTCTGCCTGGTAATTTAAAGTCCTGCCGTCTGCCTGCTGGGCTGCTGCCGGGAGCCACTCATCACTGCCACCTTTGTACTCTGATCTCTTTTTCCCCCTTTACTGCTTTCAGGAAGAGGCTATTTCTCAAAGTAGTTAAAAGGGCCACACAGTGAAGACTGTACCTCCCAGGTTTGATTTCAGAAAGCTTTTATTCAAGTTAATGACAGTTTATTCTTTGAAAACAATATATTCAAGTAATACACAGAATTCACTATTGTTCCATAATGTCATATGATGTAATGCTAATGCTGGTGGGTGAGCTGCAGAGGCAGTGGCTGGGCGAGTTTGGGGCTATTCGTATGACTGAGGTAATGTTTGCATTTTTAATAAGCAAGCAGATTTTTTCTTTGGTTTTAACCCTTTTGGATAAGTATACCAGAGCATAATTTCATATAATGGCAATTATGTTTCTTTTTCTCTCTCTCTTTTTTTTTTTAAGATTGCTTTATCATAGCAGTCTCTGATTTAGCAAATTATTTGGAAATGTAAAACATTTAATGGAAAATGAAATACTGGAAAATTAGAAAAGAAAGTAGCAATAAATTGCCACAACAGAACACAAAGCAAAATGCAGTAGATTTGATGTAAATTAGATTCCTAGGGTTTAAACAGGCCCTATAGATGTTTTACTTAAAATTCAACCATTCATAGTTTTTAATGACTCTCACCCTATTTTGTAATTCTGTAGATATTCACAGTAGAAATGTAACATTGTTAAATGTTTCATATATAAAAATTGTAAAAATAATTCTTTTATTCACCATTGGTGGATGAATATATGCAACATACACACACGCATAGAACATTCTTTGCAACTGACCTACCATTTTTGTTACTGACCTTGGATACAACATAAGAGATTGTTTTATTGCCCAGGGAAGGGACTGTCACTGATGCCAACAAAGAAGATCAAAAGTATAAAATGTAGATGTTTAAGTGATACTAAGGAGCTCTGGTGGCACAGTGGGTGAGGCATTTGACTGCTAACTAGAAGGTGGGCAGTTAAAACCCATCAGCTTCTGCCCAGGAGGAAGATGAAGCAGTCTACTTCTGTAAAGAGTTACAGCCTTAGAAACCCAGTGGGAGTTGCTGTGAGTCAGAATCTACTCCATGGCAGTGGGAGGAAGTGATACTAAGAAGCTTTGTTGGGAGTTCTGTTTGGTTGTTAACAAGATACATATGAAGTAGATTTTGATAATTAAGGAGCCTGGGAATTTTCTTGGTGGAGCAAAATTCTCTTGGAACAACAGTGAAGCCTCTCAAATCGTGAAATACTGAGGCTTGGTGCTTGAGATTGGCGCTGAGGAGAATGAAATGATAGAAAATGTTAACAGGAAAGGGAGCTAGATTTCAAATGACTGGTTTCTTCACATTTTTCTCACCCATTGATCTATTAGCCAGACAGAGATAGAAAAGCTTTGCTTTTATTAGAAACCTGTCTTGGCTAGCTGTCAGACCTTACCTGTGCTTTTGAAAATGCCGCGCCAGAGGAGGGTAAGAAAGAGCTAATCATAATCAGAGCCCCAGTCTTCTCTGAATGGCTTAACGGTAACCTCTAAATTTAGGGTTGATCCTAAGAGTATATTTCCCCTCAAACACCACATTTGAAATGTTGATAACTTCTTCCTGATTACCTTGTAGATTTATTTGTGTGTGTACTAGCTCTTCAGTTAACCATTTCAATGTGACTGTTAGGCAGAGAAGTGTTAGCCTTGCTCAGCAGAGCAGGAAGCATCAGGTGAATGAATGGTCATGCTAAACAGATTGAGAAGATGAACCCAGCTCACAAAGGCAGCCGCACTTACTTTGTTCACTCCAGTAAATCTCTACATGCCTGCATCCATTCTTGTCTCTTTCCATTAAGCATCACAGAAGATGTCTATGCCTTTATTTGAAACTTAATACCTCTTCGTTCCACTCTTTCCTTCTTTTGCTGGGACTTTGCTTCTGTACTTTTCCTTCTCTCTAGTATCTAGATTAGTAGACCTCTTTCTTTCTGTTCATATGTTCAGATCTT